AACAGGCCAAGCTGTCGGCCAAGGCGCCCTTCAACCAGTACAGCAGCCTGCGCGGCCTCAAGGTTGTTTGGGGCAGCCCCACCGACTACGCCACCTTCCCTCAGGGCCCCTTTGACGTGGTGTACGACAACAACGGGAAGGACCTCGAGTCCTGCAAGCCCCTCATCGACGCATCCAAGGCGCGCCTCCAGCGCCGAGCGCCGCCGCGCTCCACTCCCCCCCCCCTCCCCGCCCTCCCGGCCGCGGACTGCGCAAGGGTCGGCAGGGCACCTCTCGCTTTCGCAACCGCCGGCGACGCGCGCGAGCCGCGGGGCGCGCCGGCGGCGGCGCGGCAGGGGTAGCAGGTTGCGTACTCACCGGCTGCCTGCCGCGCGCCTCGCGCTCTCGCGTCCCGCAGGGTATGGTCAAGCACTACGTTTTTGTGAGCTCGGCGGGCGCGTACAAGGCCAACTCCATTGAGCCGATCCACGTGGAGGGGGACGAGCGCAAGGCCAGCGCGGGGCACGTGGCGGTTGAGAACTACCTCAAGGAGGTGTGTGTGTGTGTATACGGTGTGTGTGTGTGTGCGTGTGTATGTGTATCGTTGTGTGTGTGTGTATGGGGTGCGTGTGTGCGTGTGTATGTGTATCGATGTATGTGTGGGCATGTGGTGTGCGTGTGCCCGCACACTTGTGTGTGTATGTGTGTGCGTGTGTGCGTGTGCGTGTGTGTGCATGTGTACTGGTGTAGATGAGAGGCCGAGATGGAGACACGAGTGTGCAGTCGCATGCGCGAGGGCGTGCAAGCATGGGGCTTCCAGAGGTGTGAATGCAGGGTGCTGTTGACGCAGGCATGCGCGGCCCATGTGCCCCGAGGACACACAGTGGACGTGCCAGCGCAAGCTGCAGGGATGGCAGGCGATGTGCATGTCGCCTCGGCGGCGGGTCACTGGCGTGCCAGCTCGTCGGCGCTGCGGTTTGGGTCCTGTTCTCCTTCGGTTGGCTGACGTGTCTGCGGTCCCTGTTGCACACGTGCCCGCAGGAGGGCCTGCCCTACACCGTGTTCCAGCCGCTGTACATCTACGGCCCCCACACCGCCAAGGACTGCGAGCAGTGGTTCGTGGACCGCGTCATCCGGTGAGGCTCAAAGCGGGGTGTGAGAGGGGGCGCAGACGGAGGCGCGGCGGGCGTTGGCTCCCCACAGCGATTTAGTTGCCAGAAAATCGGCGTGTGCCTTGCAGTTGGAGGCACCCTGCTATTTGCTATGCCGGGCGGGTGGGGCAGGCGGCTTGCGGCAGATGCGGCGTTTCAAAGCAGCACGGCCCCCTGACGACGATTGGCCTGCTCCGCTCCGCGGGCGCGCAGGAACCGGCCGGTGCCGATCCCCACGCCCGGCGTGCAGCTGGTGACGCTGACCCACGTGGAGGACGTGGCCTCCATGCTCGCGGCGGTGCCCGGCAACAAGGCCGCGATCGGGCAGCACTACAACGTCTGCTCCGACCGCGCCATCACGTTCCAGGGTGGGCGGGGGGAGGGGGGGGGACAGGGGAACAGAGAGGCGGCTGCGGCGCGCGCGCTTAAGC